AGAGTTTTTTTGTTCATTTGTTGGCAAATTAGGAGAAATCTAGAGGAAATCATTAAGAAACTAGAGAAAATTAGGGAGAATTCGAAGTAATCAGGGGAAATTAAGAGAAATCATGAGAAATTAGAGGAAATCGAAAGAAATTAAGAGAAAATTATGAAAAAGAATCAGTGGAAACCAGTGAAAAATGCGCGAGTGCGTAGGTTTTTATGTTCATTTGTTTGCAAATTAAGAGAAATATAGAACAAATTTGGGGAAATTATCAAGTAATTATAGAAAATTAGGATAAACTATGAGGAAATCAGAGAAAATTAGAGGAAATCATAAAAATGATTGAAAAATGAGTATACACAAGTTGGGTTTTCTGTTCATTTGTTGGCAAATTAGGTGAAATCTGGAGGAAATCAGAGAATAAAGCCGGGAAAATTATAAGGAAATCAGGGAAAATCGAAGGAAATCATGAAAAATGCGCAGGTTTAGTAATTGGCAAATCTTGAGTAAAGCAGAGGAAATTACGAGGGAAACAGAAGAATAATGAGAAGATCCGGGAAAATTGCAATAAATCAGGAAAATTGGAAAAAATAGAGAAAATTACGAAAATTAAATAAAAAAAAAGGTATTTGGTATACAACATTTGGGTTGCGATTTACCTCTCGATCAGAATTTAAAAAATTTCTACTTACCTAATGGCTTAAAGAACTGAAAACATATTAATCTAGCTATCCGCTCTGCTTATCACTAAAAAACATCATTAAAACAACTGAAAAACACTTATTTTTCGACATTTGTTTACGTGAAAAACTGAAAAAACTTGGAGATTTTTGATTGTTAAAAAATTATTATTGTTTTCAATTTACATAACTAACGTCAAAATTTGTATTGTGTCGTTTTAAAACACCGATGTGTAAATGCAAATAAACTTGTCACTTTTCGACTATTTAAAAAGCCATGAATATTTAATTTTTCTGCATGAAGAATCTCTAGAGACAAGTCACAACTCCAGGTATTTAATCTCAACTAGAAGTAAAATGTAAACATGACAATAATTCCTTTCCTTTCATTTGAACACGAATTATTTTTCCTTAGTGAATTCTTCAAATGCTCCTTGGAGAATATTTATTTCCAAGCTTTTCATAAATTTGTACATAATTTACAAACAGAATTTTTTTATTTTAGATTTTTGAGGAAGTTGTTAAGGACCTACATCCGAGTATGTTGCTCTTAGACTAATCCATTATTCCATTACTGCCATTATTGAAGTTGCAAATCCATAACTAAATTTACCTTCTGCCGATGGCACGTAAATTATTAACACAAGAGTAACCAATTTTGTCACAGCTTAAACTATTGTAAGCTTATTTATTTGAAAGAGATTTTTTGTTGAAATTTTGAATATCAGCAAAATTGTTGTCGACTTCAAATACATGTGAATAAAACTGCTAAATGAAAATTTCGGTTATAATTTTCGTTTCACGCTTGATGGAATTACGAAATCAGCGTTCGGGATTGAAACTCTCTCAGCGTTTAAATCCCGATTTGTCGTCGTGTTTTCAAACAGAGAGTTTAAAAGGGCACGTCGCCGCCTCCTCAATAAATAACAACCGAGAACGTCTCTTAAACGCCGCGAATTGTTTCGATAACATAGATCAAACAAGTCAACAAACTTAAAATAGGATCCTTTGCACAAAGTGGTCCCAGTTTCGATATTGCCCCACCCGGACGTCCTTTCTCCCAGATTTATTATTTCAATTTCGCGCCCGATAAACATCCCCAGGCAATAAAAAGCACAAAACTCTTCGTGACTCGTATATTAACATCTTTAATATAATACAATAATTTTCGTAAACATCATCACAAATAGATTTTATTTTTGGTAGTTTAGTGTATTTGGCCTTAATTACTTGCTTTTTTAACATTGAGTTTAGGTTCGAGTGTTTAGTCCCACTTTCGCGATTTTTTTGCGGAAATGGGTAAAAGTTTACATTGTGTGTAAAATACGTGCTGTACAATTCCACCATGTGTGCAAAAATAATGAACGTTCGCACGAGTTGGCGAGTCCGGCCCTGTGGCACGTGTGGTCATGGGCGCCGACAATGGGTGAATAAACAAAAAATTGGTATAACTTGCAGAACTTGAGGAAAAACGATTTCTTCTTCCCTATATTTGCTGAATATATTGTATTTCATATTTAGAAAATTAAAAAAAAATTTAATGTGAATTTGTGTGAATTTTGAAAAATAATACACTACTGTTAAATTTAAAAAAAATTGGAAACAATTAAATAATTTTTTTGAAAATTTGCATGAATCTTCGTAAATCTAGTGCTGAATACATCTTGGGGGGATCAACTTTTCATTAATACATTTAATTTGAGATGAATAAAATTAGTGTATACAGAAGCTAAATAAATAGTCTCAAAAATTAATATTGTTTTTGATTTTTTACATTTTCCTTTGAAAATATCTTTATACAGGCTGTATTATAAAAAACGCCCCAAGCCATAACTTTTTTATTTTTAAAGATATAACAATATTTTTTAAAAGTTAAACAGTTAAACAGTGTGGAAAGAATTTTTATTCATTTTATCTAAGACAAGCAAACGATTGATAAAAAAAACTGTTCAACTTTGAGCAATCAAGTATTATAATTTCTTTAAAAGTAATAAAATTATAGCTTGGGCCGTTTTTTATAATACAGCCTATATAAACAAAAAATTTCTAAACTGTTTCAAATATTTTTTTTTAGTTAATATGCAAAATTATAGAAAACGGTGAAAAAAATAGCTTTTTCTTTTTGATGAAGAATACACAATGTTCAGAACCGATTAATTCCTTTAATTCTCTTGTAAAACTTTGATCAATCGGTTCAAGAAAACAGTTTAAAGCTATTGGGCGTACATTAGGCTATAAAAAAACCTAATGACATATTTAGTCTCTCCATCAATATTTGTAAATACGCAGTAGATTTACTACAACAACAAATAAAAAACTTTATTCTCTTTTCTTTAAATCAATGTTGCAAGTAATTTTTTTTTCGGAAACTTGTAAAAACATCTTGCGGAAAATTTATTCCAGTTTTTGCGAGTATCCTTATATTCTCTCTGCGTACATTGGTTGCTGAGATATCAATGATCGAAGTCAAAAAGATCCTTTTTTGATTAAAAGTCAAATATCTCAGCGACAAAGCTAAATGAACAAACTATTTGGCTCATGTATTGATTTAATTAAAAAAAATTTCTTCAAGTCTGTGGACCAAAAAAAAGTATAAAAAATACACTTTTTTTCTCGCGCTGTTTCTTAGAATTACGTAATAACCAAAGCTCAGAAATTTTTTGTTTAAGGATAATGGATTTTTTAAATCTAAATACATACTACCATTTTTCATTGAGGTACAATATTTCTAAAATCATCAAAAAAATTAAGAAATTTTTCTGTTCTCTAAATTTTTTTGAATAGTAAAAAGTTTTGCCGTTCGGAAGTTTTTGAGATAATAAGAAATCTTTTTTCAAGGAGATTTTTACTAAAGAGCTTAATTTTGAACTAATTTGAAAAATGGTGAAACATTAACAATGAATTTGAACCATTTTCTCGAAGGGGAGAATAGAAAAATAGAGAATTTAAGACATCTTTGACATTAAAAGTGATTTTAATGATTATTAACAGTTATTACTATTATTTTTTACGTTAAACAAGAGTGCATTATTTTCATTTTTGAATGGGGGCATCCGCCCTGATGCACACATGTAGTCGGCGCCCATGGTTGTGGTTGAGATTCGTCGCCAGGGCCGGGCTATTAATTTTCTTTCGGGTCATTACGTCGTGCAAACATTATTAAAATGATTTATTTAGTACATTTACATGAAGTAACTACTTGAACATAATACTTATAGGATTATTGCCAAGTGTGGTATCCAAGTATGTACATATATCTACTATTATTTACATCGTTGGAAATTTAGGATCACATTATTTAACAAAGATTTGTGGAGCGGCCTAAATTACGGCCCTGCGGCATGGCATAGGGGGAAATATGGATGGGGTGGGAGGCGCTGAGCTTAACTCGACGATGGCGGAAAGGATGTTTATGGTAATGAAGGGGGAGCAAAAACGGGCAGTCCGAGCCGCAAAACGTAATCTTAGAGATGTGGAAAAAATTATACAGGATGTCTCAAATTGCTGAGCTGGAAATACGTTCCGAATAATTTATTTCGACTAAAGGGTTTTGATTTATCTCACGGAAAAATATGACCGATATTTCTTACAAAAACTCAACACCTATAAAAATATTTTCGAGATATTTATGGCAGTTTGAAAGCGATTACACTCCATTCAACTTTCAGAGATTTATTTATTTCTCTGTTGACACATAGCCCAAATGAATCCTTTTCAAAGGCGTTTTCTTAAAACAAATTTTTGATACTCATCGTTTGAAATGGGCTTTGAGCTGCAACCAACCTTTAAATTTCTGAAAAAAAAAAAAATTCTCAGCTCAAAAACAATAATTGATTTTTTGTAATCGACTAAAATAGGGAGCAAAAAATTATCAGCAAAGTGCCAAATAAATTATGGAATAATTTCCTTCAAACTGAAAATGTTTTGTTTTGGCACAAATACTCGAACAGGTCAATACATAATTTTCAATTTGATGTGAAACTTCTGTTTTTTACCTAATTTCATAGATCTTTTAATTGTCGAAATGGCAACAAAATGAAATATTACATAAAGTTGTAGAAAAAAAATCATCCAAAAAATGAAATAACATCAACATACAATTTTTATTCAAGTTGAATTTTTTAAAAAGAAAATTGACACAGGTCAAATAGTTGAGCATTTTTTGCAAAACAAAATATTTTCAGTTTTAGTAAAATTTTTAATTTATATTTTATAATCAACAAATTTAGATTAATGTAGAAATTTAGTCTTAACCAATCTTTAGATTTCTGAAAGAAATTTTCAGCACAAAAAAATACTTTGATTTGATATAATTGTAAATTCGGACTAAAATACGGAGCAAGAATTATCAGCAGCTTCAATTAAATTAAGTAATGTATATGCCACTATTGGAATTATCAAATTTTAAATATGTTATTAACTATTTTCAAAATTTTATTTTATGGAACAAACCGTAGTTTGCATTAATTTTTGTTATGTGCAAATGCAAACTTTGAAAATATTCATAAATTACTAAATTCTGGGTTAAAATAGGAAGTGAGACGCCATTTGAAATAATTCGCAATATTAGAGTTTTTGCTCCCTATTTTAATCTCAGTTCTCACAATTGTTGTCAAATTGTGTTCCAAAATTTTCAAAACTCTTATAGCACAACCCGTTAAATATCACCATCATTGTTATTTTAATTAAACCACCCTGTATATAAAACATATATGAATTAAAAACAAAAACTTTATTTTTTGGATACAATCCAAAAGGACTCAATAAAATAGTAGGTACCTGAAATATGTAGTATTTTTTTTATTTCTAGTCACTATTGTTGCTGTTTAAATGTGTTTTTGAAATTAAAAAAAATATATTTGTAACACCTAAAAAGTTACCAATGGTTATTATTTTAATTAAATCACCCCATATATGGATCAAAAACACAGTACAAAGAGGAGAAGATGATTTTGTTAATACAATTTTTTCAAGCATTTTTGTAATTAAAATTGTTGAATATTTCAATTTCTTCACAGCCACATTCTTACAAAACTGAAATATGTGATTTGGATGTTTTCAGTTTTTGCAATTTGAGACATCCCTTGTTCAATATGGAACACAGGTCTTAAACTTAACATTTTTTAAAAAATCGCATCACAACCATCCTGAATAATAGAAAAGTCTAACAATGATGATTTCCTAAAAAAACATTGAGCCAAAACAGAACCATAGTTTTTTCGAGTCCTGTATCACATTATTATCATAATATCGAAAAACTTTGGTCTAATAATAAATAGTGCCTACAGAGGATCGGTGATATGATTTCCATCATTAAAAAACACAGACACATTATAAAAAATGAAGAAAGTCCCTAAACAAAAAACCCATCTCATCTTACCAACTCATCAACACCACCTCGCCCCCACTACCAACAAAACCACAGTGGCCACTTTTTGCGCCACTTTGGAGCCCCCCGAATACGGCGAATGCAATTTCTGGTTGTTGACAATTTGGTTTTGATCGAGTACCATGATGGTTTTCGTCGTGGTCAACGGTGGTGCCACTGCTTGGTTTATACCATCGATGGAGGATTCGCAACTGATTTCCAGCGGCGTTCTAGCCCGGTTTTGGGCGATTTTTTTGTCCAAGTGGAGAGATAGTATGCTGATTGTGCTTTTTAGGTGGATTCGGTCGGTTGACGGTTTTGTAGGTGAGGAGCTTAATTCCTGGATCAGCTTACCGGAAACGGGCTGTTTGTTCAAGTACCAAGTCAGGGTTGGCTTAGGGTCGCCGAAACCGGAAGTGCATTTGGCCCGGAGCTCGTCGCCGAGGAGGTAGCTGTCCTGAAGGTGCTCGATTTTAGGCCGCTCTTCAGGAAGAGCTGAAAAAGTTTCAGGCATAAAACAGAGTGCATTGCCTAAAATTATTTACAACTATGCAGCGTGTCCCAAAAATAAGTTACAATACAAAGTTGTGTTTTTTTAAATAAAAAAAAATAGAAGTTAAACTTCTATTGACCGATTTTGCTTAGTTTTTGAAATAAGTTGGTATTATTAATAAAAACGTACTTTTTTTTTCAAATTTATTAACCCAAAAGTTAAGACAGCTAAAAAAAACACTTTAAAGAGGGAAGTACGAACTAAAAATGCAACATTTTTTAATTTTTTTACAAAAAATGCTCAAGCTTTGTTCGGGTTTGTTAAATATTTATTTAAAAAACACAAAAATCTAAACGTAAGCAATTACAAAATTTTGTATGATTTCTGTGTTTTTTAATTGTGTTTATTTTTTCATTGATTCTGGATTATTTTATGTTTTTAAAGAAATTGAAATTAAAATTGTTGTATTTCACTGTTATATCTTTTTTATTCTTGCTTCACTTGTTTTCGATTTTTTTCTCTAGTTTTTTTTCTCACTTAAACTTAATAACATTCGTTAAGAAATGATTTCAGTGCATTCTGTATTCTTCAAAATACCAAAATGTAATTAAGAAAGTTTTATAATTAACGAATACAGCACTAGTAAAATCATTTACCTAAACTATCAACTCAAAAATTCGAGGTTCGAATATGGATTGTGCCACTTTTTTTTATTATGTTTATTGTATAAATATAATTTACTGTATAAAATTTGGCCAAACAAGTAGTAAAAATTATAATAAATAATAAGAATTTATAATTAAAATCAAAGTGAATATAAAAATTAAAATGTACACTACACAAAAATCTAAGTGCGGGCAATGGAAAATTTTTGTTTCATTATAAAATCAGGTTTTTTATTTCAAATTTAAGCTGCTCTTACTATAAAGTGTTTCTTTATTTATTTATTTATTTTTCGTGTGTATTTTATGAAATTTTCTGTTTTGTTTTGAAAAAATAAATAAAAAGAAAATCAAACACTGTTTTTTGTTCCCACCTCACCACAAAACGCCAACACAACAAAATAATTTAAGCTAAAATCAAAACCAACATAATTAAAATGCATAATTTCATTAAATATAAAGATATAAGTGCAAATACACAAAATTCACTAATTAATTTTTTAGATGATTTTAAGATCAGTGTTTGTTAATTGTGTTTACTTTTTTATTAATTTTGAGCTATTTAAAGTTCTTAAAATATTACAGTCGAAAAGTTAAAAAATGCAAAAGTTTGTTAAAAGTTAAATAACTTAAAAAAATTAAATGGAACACGTAATTTTTTATTTTTGCATCTCATAGACTGATAAATTGTCTATCTAAAA